ACAAAACAGGTGTTTTTTATATTTATATATATATATATATATATATAGTTTATCAATAAATATTCATAGTATATCTGTATTAAATTTTAAATTAAAATTGACTGAGAGTAATCGATCACCAGCACGAGTTCGAATTTTAGACACGTAAATTTTGAGAAGACTGTTTCAAATGATAATCGAAACTAAAATTTCATTAGGGTTTGATGCATGCATGTGAATAACGTGTCGATCCATCTTCTACATGAACACGTGCTTTTTTTTTTATCAGACTATAAATATGTAGAATTTTGAAAATTATTAAACCAGTAAATGAATAAAAAATAAAGGAAATGAGTAAACAAATTTTGTATATTGAATAGGAAATACATATAAAAATTTTATGTCCGGACTCCAGATATAGCTCTACATGAAGACTATCGCAATACGCCGCCACGTGTGCTACACCGCAGAGGTTATTGAAGGGTTATTTAAGTAAAACCACAGAGATTACTAGGGGAATATTGAGGGTTATTGTGGGGGTTAATGTAGGAGGTTATTGAAGTGGAACGTGGAGGTTATTGGGAGGTTATTGCGGGGGTTATCGCATGAAGCAATTGAAGTGGAACTGTGAAAGTTATTTGAGGGTTATTGCGAGATTATTGTAGAAGGTTATTGAAGTGAAACTGTAGAGATTATTGAGGGTTATTGGGAGGCTGTTGCTGCGTTATTGGAGTTAATACCCAATAACCACCTAATAATCTCCCAACAACCTTCCAAATAACATACACAGTTCTACTCCAACAATTTCAGCGGTTCCGCTCCAGTAACCTCTGCAGTTTCACTTTAATATTTATTTAGGTGAACCCGATACAACACACATGACAGTATATTACTACGAGTCCGCACATAAAACTATGTCTGAAGTCACTCCAGCCAGAAAATTTTCAAAAGTACAAAGGGTTTAAAAAGATTTTCAAGTATGTCTTCATTGACAAAAATAGTAATACAATATAAAATAGATATTAGATAATTTTAGAGTTTCTGAGTATCTAAATCTAAAAAGGAAGACAGAGATAGCTTACTTGACCAGACTCCAGAACTGGTCACGATATGCAAATAAATTCAATGTCAAATGTCAATATTCGCGCTAGTGGTCTTATAAGAACTCACATATATATGTATATATAGGACTGTTGAATCAAATGTCAATTTTTCAAGTTTAGAATGGTTGAATAGAACGAGTCACGATATTCTAATGAAAACTGATGGTTAGAATGAAAGGAATTTCTCAAAATCAAATCTTATATTACACTCAATGCAATGTAAATTCAATGAATTTAAAATAAAATTTTCTTTTATTTTGAGAATAATACAATCAAACAATTCTCATATCACATTTGTCTTCAAACAAGTTAGAAAAAAAAATAGTAGATTTACATACATACCACCCGATTCCTTTGTATTTCAGTTTCAAACACCTAAACGTCAATTTTTACATTAAGAGTACGATTGCGAATTTAAGATTTTTCGTATAAGTAAAATTTAATATTTTTTCTTATATAATTTATACAATTTAGTAACTTTACCCCCTTCAGAAATTTAGTACTTTTGAAGGTAATTTATATAATTTAGTAAATTTTTTCTTAATGTGATTCATGCAATTTAATGATACAGGAGTGAAACTAGTTCAGGTCCCATGCGGACAATTGTCCATTCCTCTTTACATATATGCCACCACCTTAGCCAGGAAAGGCGATTTACTTGTTAAAAATCAAAGTGGCGATAATGTTAAATATTTGGGTGGTATTAATATAAAAAAGGTTATAACTTCGGTGTGATATGTAAATATATAAGAATTGTGTTCTAGCTATGTAAATTTCCCAAAAAAATAGAAAGGCAGCAAGACTGGACAGTCAATGGTGTGGAAGTGTGCTCTACAAGAAATCCTACATTACGCAGCACATAAAATAACTAATACCTCCTACCGTGTATGACAAAAAAGTCATTTAAGATCACATAGGCTGAATAATCTTTCTCTAAAACTATACAAATATATCTACCAAACCGCACATCTCAACAACTTCTAGACATTTGAATGGGTAAACTTTGTTTCATGATGGGAAATTTTTAAATGATGTTTGCACTTTGACATTCTTTTTGCAAAATCGACCGAAGTGACAAAGATGGTAAAAAAAAAGATGTCTGAAGCACCATTTACAAAAATGATATTTCAGTGAGTATTGCAAGAGGATATCTCCGGACAAAAAACAAACAAGGATGCTGATTACCTTCCTCGGTTAGGGCAGGTATTTGCGAAATGAGAGGGATCGCCGCAGATGAAGCAACTACCCGATACTCGTTCCCCAGTTGCCGATACAAATGTAATGCCGTCGGCTTGAGCACCCCTCTGGCCTCGAGCGCGGCCTCGGCCGCCCCTTCTTGGGGTAGAGGACGATGACCTTCCACTGCTTCCGCGAGCTGCACCACGTCCTTGTCCTGTGCCATTCTCTAGATTTTCTTCCCATCTGTGTTGTAAAGACGAGTAGTATAACAGAATTGTTAATATTGCGAATCATAAAATTTATGCTTGAGAAGATCAACATTTGAAAGTGATTGAATTAGGGGACCAGTACAGTCAGGCAAATATTGAGCACAATTGTCAAGATGGCCATGCATAAGAAAACTAGCAGAAAGGAACAGTGTTCAGCAATTATCATGAGTAGAATGTAGAGAATTTATCATTGAAATAGTGCATGTTGCATTAAAAAGTAAAAACAAAAAAGAGTACAGGATATAATGAGAGGAGGCTGTCCCTCTTTTACATTAAATAGAAACCAAACAAGCAAGTGAAGATCTAATACATGAGTTCAAAATAGTAAAAAATTAAAAATATCATGTAATGTTGATCTGCTTTGCCCACTGAGTAAGTGTTAGGTATGACTCGTATATTAGATAAAAAACAGAAGCTGGAGCGGAATGGAGCGAGCGGAGCGGAGTAGTGACACTATCCCCTAACACCTCCAAAATAATTTGTGGCTGAATTCCAAATTGACATTGAAATAAAGTAGCTGATAATGCCTAAAACAAGCAAGTTTAAAGCCCCTGATTGGGCCTCTTTTACAAACAAGTACAGATAAAGGTGACCAATTTCAGATCCATTTATTGAAGCGACAATCCCTAATGGATTATTCCGCTACAAGAAGAAAAAACTGTAAAACTACAAAAGCAGAAAAAAAAAAAAAACAGATATAATCATAACTTAAACCTGTATGCTAATGAGAATTATAAATAGCTGATTATATGATTTAGATAAAGGCAATTCTAAGCAATTTCATCAAAGGTGTTGTTGAGCATACACAAAGAAGTCACAATCTCGTGACTGGCAGACATAGAACTTCCTTCCTCTATTGTTTTCTGTATTAGCAGTCCTCAACGCAGATGGTTCACCACAATCACACAATATCGGGCCTGCAATAGATAATTAAAAAATAAAATCCGTTCATAAAAGCTGAAGCAATTACATCTTTAAATTTTATTACCAAACATTTCATTGTTTGTGAGTGCAAATGAATTTTTAACAAAACAGGAATTGAAGAAGCAATGTGGTTTAAACATTTTCAATTCGTAAATGTGAAGTAAAGGGTAGCATGCTAAAGTGACAAACAGCATTGCCACTGCAATTATTCACAAAGTATAAAAACATAAAACATAAACTTCTTAGTTCTTCAAAAATTGCAATCAAGTAAAGATGTCAACGCTGGAAACAGAAATCGAATGTCAAAAATAAAACGATTAAAATATTATCTTCGATATTATTTTCCCATCTAGAAAAACCTACTTCATAGGTAAAGCTGCCAAAGTTTTAAGGAAAAATAGGCTCAATCCTGAATAGGCTCGATGCCTTTCCCCTTTGCTTTCATTCCATTAAATAATAATCTTACAATCTATTTTAGGTACAAAATAAAGTGCATAATCTATTTTAGATAACTTAATAATATATATTCCTAATCTAAATATTCAGCTAAAAGGGAAATAAATCAGAATAAAAATATTGGAAATAAGGAAGCTTTTAATTATAGAAAGTTCTTAATTTAACTGTCTGATTTTCATCCTTTTTGATTGACATCCCTCCTCAAATTGATGCTGACTGATCATGAAACATTAATTTGCCAACAAGAAGCTGATAACATTGTCGGGACCAAAAATCCTCAAGCTGTTGAACCGAGAGTGCCGAAGCCTAAGAATGCCGAATCCTGAGAGTGCAGAAGCCTGAGAGGCCGAAACCTGAGAATGCTGAAGCCCAAGAGACCGAAGCCTCAGAGTGCCGAAGCCTGAGAAGCTGAAGCTTAAAAGTGCCGAAGCCCGAGAGACCAAAGCCTAAGAGTGCCGAAGCCCGAGAGGCCGAAGCCCGATGCCGGAGAGTGCCGAAGCCCGAGAGGCCAAAGCCTGAGAGTGTCGAAGCCCAAAAGTGCCGAAGCCCAAAAGGGCCGAAGCTGGAGAGAGCCAAAGCCCGAGAGACCGAAGTTTAAGAGTGTCGAAGCCCGAGAGGCCGAAGTCTGAGAGTGCCGAAGCGTGAGAGTGCCAAAGCGTGAGAGGGCCGAAACCAGAGAGTGCTGAGAGTGTCGAAGCCCGAGAGTGCCAAAGCCTGAAGCCTGAAGCCGAAGCGAAGCATGAGAAGCAGTCGAAGATGCTGCAGAAGTTGTGAAGGCTAGCGAAGCCGATGATGACATTTGGAAGATACTGAAGTGAACAAAGCGAGGAAACAGTTGAACAAGCAAAGCAATCGAAGGCAAACGATACCAAAGGCTAAACGAAGTAGTTGAACGATGGTGCCGCGGTACACGAACTTGCCGGTGTACATGCCTTCTGTGGCGACGAAGAGCTTGAAGAATCTATGAGCAGGTTGCCTCTTCAGTTTGGATGGCTGGGTTTCCGTTCAAACCAAAATGTTGTGCCAACCTGATCGAGGTAGCTGGCTGAAACACAAATGTGTCCGGGAGGACCAATCGAGACACAAGTGATGCAGATGCAGGTGCAAGTGCAAGTGCAACGTGTAAATGTAAGGTGCAAGGTGCAGAGTGAAAGTGCAAGTACGATATATGATATACAATATGCAACATGCAAAGCACGCACATGCAAAAAATGAGATGCATATGACCACATATGATAGTGAGCCACACTCACATTAATGACCTCACTTGGGAAACCTCATTTTTAGACAATTAGATATGCGGCACCGTCGCTTCTTGTTTTGGTGAGGAAACGTGGGGAGTTTCTCCCCGGATCTCCAAGGGGGAAACTCTCCACGGCATCACGAAATGAGCTAGCTACAAAGCTTTTCCCATTTTGTGAACTCCTCCAGACTTTGCAAAGCAAGACAGCTACAAAACTTCTCATGCTTTGCCATGTCCGACCTCCCAACTTCTTCAAATAAAGTTGGGGAACCCAAAACAAGAGGAGGGAGAGACTCCAACCCATCACGACTTGTGCTAAGGCTCACAACAAAAAGGAGATACTCTGCTCTACGTGGGGGGGGGGGGGGGGGAGGGTTGGGTTTTTTGTTTGTAGGAAATACCCTAACCTAAAGGCTCACTCTAGGAAATCGACGATCAATCACATAAGTACGTCGAAGCTCCGGCTTACGCACCCCGTGTGGGCGATCGAACCCACACGCCTAGACACCACTAAAATCTAGGGTCAGCTAGAAGTTTAGAGGATCTCACCACCCTGATGGTTGCGGACGCGTTCTCTTCGCTTGTTCCAAGCTTGCCGACGTTCGATCCATGGCCCAGGGTACTTCACAACGAATGAAGATGGAACAAATGAGGTATACAAGTACCCAAAAATAATGAATTTTGGCATATGAAAAAAAAAAACCAAAATATACCTTCAAAAATGGGTCGCTCGACAACGGCGAAGGAGGGGAACCCACGAGGATGTCGACGGAAAGGAGCGCCGGCGGAGGTTTTTCATACGAGGTGGAAGACCCTTGCACCTCCTCGAACAGCAACGTCGCTCGCTGCCCGACAACGCCGAAGTGCTCCGGTGAAGTATCCGGTCGCCGGGAGGGTAGGACGGCGAGGTGGACTTAGCTTGCAGGCGGTGCGCACAGAAAGAGAAGGAAGCGCAGAGGAGAGCCCAAAATACGTTCTCCTCGCTGATTTTCTCCGGCGTAAATGCGACGCCGGCGAGTGACAAGGACGGCGAGGAGGAAACGATCCGACGGAAGAGGAAGAAGAAAATGGAGAGGAAGAAAATCTCTCTTCACTGCTTTCACTCCAAGAAGCACCTCCAAGGCTTCCTCAAAATTTTCCAAAGGCTTCCTCGTGAGCCTCTCTCGAGCCCTCGCCGGATAAGAGGAAGAAGGAGAAGAGGGAGAAGTGTCCGGCCAAAGTGGGAGAGAGAATCCACGTGAGCTCTCTCCTTCGCAGGTAGGAGCCTCGGATGGGAGGAGAATCGGCGGTGGGGAGTTTTTCGGCGAGGTAGAGGGTGCCGGCGGCGGGCTTCGCCGGTGACGAGGGAGGCAGCCGGCGAGAAGCTAAGGCATGGGAGGTGCGGCTCAAGAAGCGGCTAGCGACTAAAGGAGGGACAGCTAGGGACCTTCGCCGGCGATGAAGAGACCTGCGGCGAGAGGATCTTAGCGAGCCGGGGGGAGCCGAAGGGGTGCGGCAGTTGCGCAGAGGATAAGGTTGCGATCGATTCGGAAGAGAGGGAGAGGCATGGGTTCTTTTAAAAAGGATAAGTTTTTTTTTATTATTTTTATAATAATAATAATAATAATAATAATAATAATAATAATAATAATAATAATAATAATAATATTATTATTATTATTATTATTATTATTATTTAAGGTCTCCGCACATTTTTCGCCGAATATGCCCACGCAACAAAAATAAACATCATTCTTAAGTGAAATCGAAGTTCCAGACGCATTGGTATAGTCTGTTTTGTCGTCCGGGGTCGTTCAAACCACTTTTTCACCAATTAAGTTCAAAATGATAATTTGCGCATTTTTAGCCCGTATGCGAAATCGTGGTACAACGAACGCCTTTTTCAAGTGGAATCGACGTTCCGAACTCACTCACGTGGTCTGTTTCGTCGTCTGGGGCCATCTGAACGAGCTCGCTGGTCATCGGACGTGATCGGACCAATTCAAGCCAATTTTGTGCGCGGCGCGACGAATAATATTTTTCGATCCGATTGGAGTCGTCTGATGTGCCAAATGCTGAACGGTCTTCGCCCAAGCAAAAGCCAAAGTCTAGCAAAATGACCTAGGCAATGTGCTCCTCAACACATGCCGAAAGTTCTCAACCGGATTTCTCGAGCTACGGGAAACATATATGCACGAAGCGTTACCCCGACTCGCTCAGCTGGACATCCCACACACGTGACAAAAAAAAAATGATGCCAACAGGCTGATAAACATCTTTGATCCGAGCAAGAGAGAGTTGAAGATATAGATGATTGGTCGGACTCGAAAGATTCCAACTTGATATGTAGCCCACTGCTAGAAGGGAAACCACTGCAGGGATTGCATGTCGCCCAGAGGATATCGCTTCTCTGAACATAAAACTCCTTTGCCTCCTTTGCAGGATTGCCAAGCTTCACACGAGTAAAATATAATCCTACAGTGAAGGGATTCCACGACCCTTCAACAAGGAAATCAACAACGCCGCAACTCGGCGGGGCTGCACCCTGTAGTATTCTTCGATGCCTGAAGCGATCCCTTGCCCTCAACACCTCCACAGGAGCCTTCGTTAGAATCCCCCTTTCCAATGCCATCGTCAGCCTAGACCCATCATTCCACTCCGCCGCCCGAATAAAAGCCAGAACCACGATCTCCGCTTCGACGAAAACTCCATTATCCGCGGGCACTGCCATCTCTCTCCTCTCTCGACCGGAATACGCAAAGAGAGGGAACAGAGAGCAAGAGCTTTGCTCCGAGTTCCCTCTCAATCGAGAAGTTATATAGGGCACTCCATGGTTAGAGAGAGAAAGTGAGAAATATCGAAGGAAGACGAAGACGGAGTCTTCTTTGTTTGTCGTTTCGTAGGGTGAAACTCGACGTGGGGGTTGAGGAGGAAGGAAGAGTAGGGAAGGGATGTTTCAGCCGTATATCTCTATCAGCGAAAACATAGCAGGAAGTGCTGCAGTGAGCGAACTTGGAAGATGCGATCAATATACGACTTCTCGAAGGCGCAGAGGCTGGGAAGGGATGTTGCAGCGACCGACGGCTAGGGCATCTTTTTGATCGGCGAATCAAGACAACCTCCCTTCCCGCAAGACGGCGGCGGGAAGTCTCGACAGTCCTCACGACTATTGGTGATTAGGGCAGAAATTTGACTCTGATACCATGTCAAAGTTTTGAGAAAAAATATGTTGAATACTGAATAGGCTCGATGCTTTTCCCCTTTGCTTTCATTCTATTAAATAATAATCTTACAATCTATGTTAGGTATAAAATAAAGTGCATAATCTATTTTAGGTAACTTAATAATGCATATTCCTAATCTAAATATTAAGCTAAAAGGAAAATAAATAAGAATAAAAATATTGGAAATAAGGAAGTTTTTAATTATAAAAAATTCTTAATTTAGCTGTTAAATTTCCATCCTTCCTGATTGACAAAAGCGAGGCGCTAGCTGTATAAAATACATTGAAAACTTTAAGCATTTCTATCCCTATAAATAATGAATCGCAAGAGTACAAGGCATTTATATTCCATCTCGAGCAATAAATGAAAAAAAAAAAAAAGACCTAGAAGATATGCCGGCAATCTTTATTTTACTGAATGGTGTAAGATTTGCAAATGAAGCATTTCATAAGAATAAACTCTCTTATTTATTTTATAGACCTCCCTTTGGAATCAAAGGCAACATCATGAAACCATATAGTTGGTGATAAACAGTTTTTTCCTCAACAATAAAACAGAATAATGACAACTAGAGTGAGGGTAGAAAAAAAACTTGGAGGACAGAAAAGGCAATTTTAGAACCTGCACCATTTCTAGCGTTATTAGTTGACTGAGCTCTGCGTGAGCGAGAAACTTGAAAGGGGCAATCATTAGAAGAATGCCCAGTTTGTCTGCAATGCATACAAGGATTTGACTCAGTACTTCTTCTTTGGGCAGCATTAGAAGGATCCGATGTTTGCCCTCTTGCTGAAAGCAAAAATGAAAAAATAATAAGAAATAAATAATTTTAAATAATAAGAGACAACTAAGTTCAAATGATTACAGATACGATAATAAGATGACAATTAAAAATTCAGATCATAAAAGCCTGTTAGAGTGCTAGAATTATAGTGGTATCCTGGTAGAAAAACTTGAAATACATAATTCACTGTTTCATGGCATAATCATACAGTGGGGTGAATAAATTGGAAAGAAAGAACATAAAGATCATGTCTAACTACGTAATCATAGAATGCATGTGCCAAAGTTTTTTGCACCAGTGCTCAAAAGATTTAAATAGGACAGACCTGTCATTGGAGTTGCATTCCTTGAACCAGTTCCACAAATTTCTATGAGTTCTTTGAGGATATCATCACAGCCACCAACACACCCTGACATAAAAAACAGTATTTAGTCAGCACCATATGATTGCAATCCTAATTTTTGCAATTCACAAAAAGATGCAGATGATTTGGACACAAAATTGCAAATATGAATAATCAGTTGGTGAAAACACTATTTTCATAAAGATCATAATAAGTAGCAGTAACGACAAATCCATATTTCACATGCGATCCTGTTTTGATCTTCACGCATGTAACAAGAAATGGGAAGTGAGAGGCCGTTAGAAATCATAAAAATTAGTATTCATTACTTGACTGATTATGTTCAAATCATTAATTTGCTCAATATTTCCATCAAGTGTATCTCCATCAAAAGGATACAAGGAAATATCAAAACAATTTTACTTTTTCTCAATACGAAGGTACGTGATGAATACTATGTCACACACCACATATCGATTACAGAACTAATTTGCTTGAATTTCCAGAAGGAATAGTAATATGTGCAAATTTAAAACACGCCATTTGAAGATTTCTAAGCATACTCAACCAAACATAAGTGTGACTCTATAGGGCCCGTTTGATGCAGCTTATTTGGGTGCGGCGGCGTTTTGAAAACGCCGCCGTCCTGTTTAAATATTACGTTTGGTTTAACGTTTTGTCGTCGCGGCGTTTGAATATCGCGATTTCCTTAACACCTTCGCAATCCGGACTCCCCCCGCGTCCCACATATGATTATCGCGTTTAGGGTAAGAATTCCTGTGGTGCCCTTCCCAGACCTCCACACCCTCCTCTGCTCCTTCACTTTGACGGAGATTGGCACACATAAGGTATATATTTTCGACATCACACTCTCACCCTACCCGATATCCCTCTCCTTCCTTCCAGCGAGTATGTATTCAACCCTAGCAGTACTTCCTATTCATATGATAGTTTGAAATGAACTACTGCAATTTTATGCTTCAGAATGTTCAATTTTCAAATATGATGGGGTTATGTGAGAGAATAGAAGCTTTCCTGTGGCATTTTTACATACTTATGACCCTGTTCCTGTGATCAAAGTTCATGCCTGGGAATTTTGGAGTTACAATATTGAAACGTTGAAATGTTGGGAATGAAATTTCTACTTGTAATGATGGGGGAATGTTGGAATGCTTGGGAATATTTTCATTTCACATGATCGGTTGAAATGAAAAATGGTGAATTTACGTACCTTAATAATTTATAATGGGCCATTTACGTGCAGAACCCGTAATTCCTTAATGATGGAATTTGCATTAGTAATGAGTGCTTTATCATACATACAGTACGGTGGAATTTGCATTAGTTGAATGCTATCTCATTTCTATCTTAAAATATAATGGGGCATTTACATACATACAAAACAAGCAATTCTCTTTATTATTTTAAGTGCAAGTATCATAAATGCTGAGTACACATCACTCAACTAGTTAGGAGAACATGGAAAGTTGAATCCATATCCTTCAACTTTATTCAAATGCTTTGTTTAGTGGGTGACATAGAAAGGTGTATTAAAAGGTCCATTTCCTCTTCTCGTTCTAATTCAATTTTCTTATTGTTATTAATTGGGGGAGGACTTCTTAAATGCACAGTGCAAGCTATCTGTAGTAATCTGTAGGTCTTGAGCATATTGGTAATGGTATTGGTTGTGGCAGTGGAAATGGTGATGGTAGTGCTAATGGTAATAGTGTTGAGCATGGTGCGAGCTATCTGTTGTTATGGTGTTGAGCATAGTGCATGCTATCTCTGGAATGGGATTCGTTATCATTATTTTGTTTATCCATGAGAGAATTCTGCTTTTGGGGCATAAAAATGAAATTCTGTTTTTAGGAGAGCTAATGGTGTTGAGCCTAATGCAAACTATCTGCTGTTTCATTCTCCACACATTTCAATACAAATAGAAATTTTTAATCTGTACATATTACGAGAGCTTTTTCATCTGCTGCATCATTAATCTGAATGATGCAGTACTATATATATGCTTTGTTCTTTTAATGGACATATTATATAGAGAATTTTAGCTGGCTTTTGTATTCTGAATGGCAATGGTAATGTGGTTGAGCAGTTGTTGTTAGTCATTTATGTTGTTCTATCATATTATATTGCTTTGCTTCCTTGGAACAAGTAAATTCTTTACAATTTGGTTCCTTGATAAGCTGAAACAGCTTTCAGGGGTAGCTTGATCATTCAATAATATGAAGAGGAGCAATAGCATTCATTAATATGTTCTAGATACTACATTTTTTTTAAAATGTACTTCAGGTTGAAATGAACAATGCGGCAACTGATAAAAATGTTATGCTGAATTTGTAAAAAGGCAGCTGATAGATGATAAAATTGATAGGCATGGATTTATTTCTGATAGCAGCTCTTCAATTGGAATTATAACAAGTCATCAACTGCCTTTCCTTATAGGTTGAACCATACATAAAATTTAATTTTTTGAATAATGCTCAGACATGGCAGAAGTTTTGTTCCCTTAATTATTCAGTTGGAATTGAGAAGGTTGACCCGTAAATGGTGAATTGTTAGCTTTATGCCTATAATCTTGCTTTCAGATTTACATATGATCTTGCTTTTCCCATTGACATTCTCTAAGCATGTAAATGGAGAGATTTCGTGGCATGTATTCATAGGTTTGGAATTGTGGCATGTCTCTATTTGTACTTCAGTTGGACATGATAAATAATTAGCTTTATGCTTCTGCAATTACTTGTTCAATCATTCTCTTATGCATGTTATCTTCAAATATGATCTTCTTTATGCTTTTGCAATTCATTCATATATTTCCAACATAACTAAGACAAATGAAGGTGGTCCGTCAGCTATGTGGGATAAGGAGGTTACAAATATTTTTTGCAATCTCAATATTACAGAAATTGAAATCGGTAATATGTCAATCACGTATTTCAACAAGGAATGTTGGCAAAATATTTATAACGCTTCAGCCAGAATTACGCGTCAAATATTTGCGTGTTTTGTTGGATGAATGACTTATTTTATGTGTTGTTATTTGTAGTTTTTTCTGTGTTATGGACTTCTAAATGAGAAATTTAAATATATTGCCCCCTGTATGGATCTTTTTTTTAGGGCACTTGTAAGTGATTCATGCTTGTCAAAATGTTGATCTTTGTACATTTTTATTTTAAAGACTTCATGTTTCATTTGCACTACTAAGTGATTCATGTTTTCATTACTCTTGTACGTAGGGGTGTAAACGAACCGAACACGAACGAACAGAGCTTGTGCTTGTGTTCGTGTTCTCGGTTCGTTTGAATTTTAGTTTGTTTGAAATAAGCTCGTGTTTGAAATTGTTCGTGAAGTCACTATTCGTATTCGTTTCTTAACGAACGAGACGAACACGAGTCGAATACGAGCTGTTCGCGAACAACGAGCCAGTTTGACATCCCTAATATTAATATATATAAATTAATTATATAACTTATATTATATAAATATATAATATATATATCAGTATATTACTAATATAGTATATTAATATACTATTATTATTATTTTACTATATATTATAATTTATAAAATTTAATTTTTTGAATATCATAAATTTTTTATATATAATTATTTTAAATTATTTTATATTTCGAACAATAACGATTCGAACACGAACAAACGCATCAGTATTCATGTTTGGTTCATTTAACTAACCGAACGAAAAAAATTTGTTCATGTTCGTCTCGTCTACTTATCGAACAAATCAAACACAAAATCATTGACGAATCGAACACGAACTGTTCACGAACAACGAGCTTTTTTGACAGCCCTACTTCTACGTTGATCTTTTTCTTTTAGGATGGATCCACAACATGAATGCCGTAAAAGAATGATATGAGTTGTAGCTATTGCAATATTGTTGCTGGAGTATTACCGATCCAACAGTGTTCGTATACCCCGTATGACGTCCAGCTTTGTTGGGGATAAATAGGCAGGTGAGATGCTTTCTGAACATTCAATAAGGTTCAACAACATATTTCGAATGACCAACAACAACAACAACAAAGCCTTAATCCCACTACGTGGGGTCGGCTACATGAATCATTTTTCTCCATTGCGTCCTATTTAGTGTCATATTTTCATTTAGTTCTAGTAAATTAAGATCATTT